GTTATAGTTCTAACAATTTTGATGTAGTTAAAATTCTATAAAGATATGGGTTAGAGTTCTACTGAGACTTTGAAATATAAATTGATTTTCTACTTATCTTTTTATACTGTAAATACTGTAACAATTTATAAAGATATGTGGATTAGAGTTCTAACAATTTTGAGGTAGTTAAAATTCTAATCATAAAATAAGTGGAGGTCAAGGCTTCTAATCATAAAATAAGTCCATGCGTTCCTACACTCTTTCTATTTTGAATTTTGTATTTATGGTTGTCCTTCCGTCTCGGTAGAATAGTTTCCTACAATTGTGTATTCTTTGTAGTATATATTTCTCTATGTACTCAATATTACTCAATAAATTGATATTTTACCTATCTTTTTATATTGTAAATACAATAAATTGATTAATTAACAACTATATTCACAACAAATTAAATTAATTCAGTATATAGATAGACTCACCAGTCACCCAATAAATAAAATCCCAAATTCATTACTCTTTATACTATAATTTTCTATCTCGAAATGGATCAAAGAGATTGTTATTTAGTCAATTATTGAGAAATTATATCTAATTTAAATGAATCCTAATTACCTAGCAAGCAAGAACAAAGTAGCTTAAAATACAAATAGCAACACCCACAGAAATAAATAACAATTCAATTCTGCCTATTTGTTTATACTGTAAATACAATAAATTACTTAATTTGCAACTATATTCACAACAAATTAAATTAATTTACAACTATATTCACAAAATTGATTAATACTATAATTTTCTCTCTTGACATGGAACAAAGAGATTGTTATTTAGTCAATTGAGAAATTATATCTAATTTAAATGAGTCCTAATTACCTAGCAAGCAAGAACAAACTGGCTTAAAATACAAATAGCAACACCCATAGAAATAAATAACAATTCAAATTCAAATAAGAACTTAAAATACCTCATAATGTCCTTGACTTTGATTTTGATCATTGTAACTAAGTAACTGGCTTTGATTCTGATTATTGTAACTAAAAAAATCTTATATCCAATCATCCATGGCTTATAGATTGTGTGATACATATACATAACACACACCCCACATATATATAGAGTCTTATGAGTCCAATTTGTATTTTCTGTCGCCCAAATTATCAGTAATTTCATCTCACAAACATCAATATTGACTAATTGTTTAAAAAAATATGTATTGAAATTATAAACTTAAAATATGTATTGAAGTTAGAAACTTAAAAAAAAAATGTATTAAAATTAGTAACTTAAAAAAATATGTATTGAACAAAAAATATATATATTGAACAAAAAAAAATGTATTGAAAATAGAAACTTAAAAGAAATATTTATTGAAACTTAAAAAAATATTGCATAAATAATTAGGCATTAAAACAAACAAAAACAAAAAAAAAAAAAACAAAAAACAAAACAAAAAACAAAAAATAAAAAACAAAAGCAAAACAGTGACTGGGTTCATCTTCTTTTTTTTTTTTTAAATAAAAATTAATGTTTTAATTAATTAGGTTTTGAATTAAAATATTATTAATTATACCTCATAAATGACGTTTGGTCAAGGTGGTGCAAATAGCAAAATAAATTCTTATTTGGCTATTTACACCACCTATGCAATTATTAAAAGTTTTCACCTTTTACAATTTCAAGATACTTTATATCTACTTCTGGTCAAAGGGTGGTGCAAATAGCAATACCCTCTAAAATTTCTATAGAAGTTCATACAGTGAATCAGACATGAGTCAGCAATGCAGTACATTCTTTTTTTTCTTTTTCATACATGCATGACTCAGCAATGCACATCCTTTTTTTTTTTTTTTTTTTTTTTTTTTTTCTATAATCACCTCTTTCATACTTTATAGTGGCAAATGTTTAAATTAGGTCATAGAATTACACAAAAGTGTAATTAGATCTTTTAATAAAAAAATGTAATTGGATTTCTCAATTGTCTAAAAATATACAATTATATTAAATTTTACATGTTTCTAAAGTCATTACTGACGTGAAAATTATCCTATTAAAAATAATTATTTTTAAATTTATTTTAATAATTATGAATAAAATAAAATTTTAAAAAATCCACTCCCAAGGATTTCCTTTTAAAACAAAAATTATTTTATTTAAAATTATTAAAATAAATTTAAAAATAATATGGAGTAATTTGTAATAGAATGACCGATACGTAAGAGTCTCAGAGATGATCTGAGGAATTGGCCAAAATTTATCGAATTGCATAATTTTTGATAGTTTAAGGACCTAATTGCACTTTTTTGAGTTAGATGCACTAGGAATGGCAATGGGACGGGGTGGGTGGGGGATATATCCCCTGCCCCGCACCCGCACGGGTAATGAAAATCCTATTCCATACCCGCCCCGCGGGAATTTTGCGGGTGCGGGTAATACCCAACCCGCAACTCTAATTATTAATATTACACTTAAATCTAATAAAAATCTTATACTACAATTGTAATTATCACATGGATTTTTTATAAGTTTGAACATAACTCTAATAATAAAATTGAATAAGAGCCAATGAAGTTAGTTCTTAATTGGAACTAAAATTGTGTTGGTAGTATAAATTGTATTAAGTGTTTACTCATTATGTTATTTGTGTTGTTCCTATTAAATTTCATAAACAAAAAACTAAGGAGTTTAATTCATTATGCATTTTTAATTATAAAATATACATAAACTTATATAATAAATGAATACTAATAACAATATATATAAGTGCGGGTGCGGGTGCGGGGCGGGGATACCTCCCCCGCACTCGCCCCCATACCCGCGCGAGTATACAAATATTTCTTATACTCGCACCCATTATTTAAATTGTGCAAGTATTTTAAAACACGCAAGATAGGAATGTGGGAAATCCATTGGGTACGGATAGAATTGTCATCCCTAAATAGCACAATTATACTTTAGTGTGTAATTTGATTGCTAATTTCTTTAGCTATCAAATCAACCACTATGGTTGAACTTAACTATCAATTTTTTATAAGTGGATTAGAACAAGGAGATATAAATTGTAGGGTAGTTGTACGTTGGTGGCTACCCGACGTGTCTCGCTAGCGTGTGATAGAGATTTTTTTATTTTTATTTTTCATATTTAACACAAAAACTCAACTTAGCATTATGCACCATTTTTTTTTTCCACTCCCTCTGCCCTCCCCCAATATATGCAAAAAGGACATAAAATTGTCCTCACGAGTTTAGTGCAGTGATTCAGTAAATAATATTTGGCAAAAAAGATCAATATTCGGATTTCGACAATAACAATGTGGAAATTATGTCCAAAATAGACAGATCACTGATGTTGACATTTGACTATGTCTGTTGCGTCATCTTGGTTTACAAAGCCGGGGTACGGAAAGCTCTTGAAATTAATAATTCAATTTTTTGAGAGAAACAAAGACATAAAATTCAATTTTTTTAGAGAAAAAAAAAAAGGACATAAAATCGAAGATATTGAACTAATGGGATGCTCTCATGAGTCATGATTCATGCAGGATGATTATGTCATTTTAAAAAATCTGATTAGATAATAATGATGAATTGACAAAAACATTAAAAAAAAAAAAAGTTTAAAAGTCACCAATATTTATCCACAATATTCAAAACATTCTCATTTTTATAAATTTCCCCGATAATGACTAAGATCTATAAATATATCCAAAATCTAAACTGTCATTGTCCAAATACTTAATAAATGTAGGGATACTTTAATTAGATCTAATCTTTAGGTTAATGAGTAATGACACTTTAAGTCTTTGCCTTTTCTTTTTCTTTTTTCAAAAACTTATCATTTCAACCTAGACTTTTATTATTTGACTTACATCGAAAAATCCATAACGAGAAGTCATTTTAGATTTTTAGGTACTCTTATTATCAATTCAGTTTTCAATAAATTTATAATTTGTTCTAAATTAAGTTATTTGAATTTCAATTAGAGATGAAACCTAAACCACATAGTACTTAATTATTGCGTTTAATTCAAAAATAAGCTCAAATTATATTTTTTGGGGGAAATAATTAGAAAATATTGTGTTGTTTTAAGGGAAAATTGAAAATGTGAACAAGTGAAAAATATAGACATGTTTTTACTTCTATATATATATATATATATATATATATATATATATATATATATATATATAAAAGAGCGCTCATATGTGGTCATGTCATTAGGTGTGACGGTGTGATCGTATCTGTGTCGTTGAATCAATTTAATCTAACGGCAGTGGTAATTCTGAGGATTTTCACGCGTTTTGGTAAGTGGGAGTGTTATGGTAATTACAATGGCCATTTATAGCGGGCGGTTCCAGAATACACCAACAGTGTTGACAACATGCACCAATAGTGTAATAAAACACACCACAGTAAAACACACCAATGGTGTATTCCCGTGTTATGGTAATTACAGTGGCCATTTATAGTGGTCGGGTTTTAGAATACACCAACAATATTGACAACATGCACCAATAATGAAATAAAACACACGACAATGTGATTTTTCCTATTCTATTGATTTATGACGAGTTTACCCTTACAGTTCGCTGGGTAGGAGAATGTGCGCGAAAATAGTCATTATATCATTATATAAATAATAAAATTTTAAAAACTAATTTAATAATATAATTTATGAATTACTAAAACATGCACGGGTGCACACACGAACAATTTTAGTTAGCGACACTTTCAAAACAAATTAATCCAAAATTTTAAAATTATTAATCGTTAAACAAACCAAAATATTTTGATTAAAAATGGCTAACTGAAATTTGTCGGTCCTGTTAATTAACTGATTTTTTATAGAATTGTACACACCCCAAATTGATAGGGCCATAATGTAATTCTTGAAACAAGCAAGGGTTAATATAACATTAGCAAAAGTTTGGGGGTCAAAGTGAAATTAAACCCACAACTACCCCCACCCCACGGCTCGGCTCTCCCATTCCCCCCTAGTCAAATATATATAAAGAATCACCTTTCTCTTTTTCTCTTCGTGCTCCCTTTGTCTCTTCCCATTATTGTTCGAAGAAGAAAGATTCCTGAAAAATAGGTTTCTCTGTGTTGGTGTAATCCAAATATAAAAAGAAGTATGTATATTCTTTTCCATTTAATAGATTATTATATTATATTATATATATACATTATCTGGAATGCATATGCTGAAATTTTGCGTGGGTTAGCCTTGAGAGGTTGAAAGACAGAAACTTTATTGAATCTTGGAAGATCAATTTGGATCTTTGCCCAATCAGCTAATCAGGTGACTCCAATAGCTTTCTCTCTTATATTTGCTTTAATTTTTGGAAAGAACTGTACCCTTTTTTCTTTCTTTTTTTAAATAAATGGGTTTTCTTGAATTTGTTTATATTGGATGGATTGTGTTAATTTATATTTGGAAGTGGGATTTATTGCTCATAGAATCTGAATTAATGGATTTTGTTGAAAAAGCAGATTGAGTGAATACTGTGTTCTGTATTATATACTCTGCCATTATTGTCATGGTCTTTTAGTTTCTTTTATTGGCTGAAATTTCAGATTGGGTTTTCAAAAACTGTTTGATTGTGTTATAAAGATTGAATCTTTTGACTTTTGTTAGTGTTAGTTCTCTGTTCTTGCAAAAGTGAGCATATTCTTGTGAATAGTAGAGAGTAATGATTATGTGTAGTTGTGTTAATGTGAAGGGTATTTGGTGTTTTTCTGCAGGGTGTTGAAGGGGCAGAAATAAAAGCCCAGATTTTGTTGGGAGTGTTCGAGAATATGAGGATGATTTTGAGGTCAATAAGGCGATTTAGTTCGAGTGTTCGATATAGAGATCGTAATTTTTATGGATTTGTGGCACAAAGGAAGCTTTGGGTTGATTCAAGACAACGGTCTCTGTATAAACTGTCTAGCAAACCCGAGATTAGTATGTGCAAACACCCGTCTTCTATGCTATCCCGAGATTTGGTCACGAGTGCTGCTGGAGTTGCTAATAGAGGTGGCGTTTTGGAATGCTATTTGTTATTGATTTTTTGGTTGTTTATTTGTTCGGTTGCTATTTTTTGAGGATAAATTTCTCGCCTTTGTTGATTTTTCTGTAAAATTCATTGAATTGTAGAGCTAAACAGTGGAGGGCCTCTTGTGGAATACGAAAGAAGAATTGCTTCTGGTGACCTTTTCGACGGGGATGCTTGCCAGGTATGTCATAAAATTTTATTACGATGACCGAACTTTGATGCAAATTAGTAAAAAAAAGGAGTTCTTAATGTTTGAGTAGATGGTAAAATATCGAAGTTCGGTATTTCTTTTCTTCTTTAAAGGTAGGCACCTTGCGAGAACTTCAGAGACTTTACGATGAACTAAACGAGAAAGCGGTTGAGTGCCGGTTGGACCGATACGCTGCTTCTGATAAAGACGGAAGGTCTGTATTGAATCTGCGGTTTTCATAAATTGTTTACGAGTTTCTTGAATTTTCCTAGAAGTTCTTGTCATGTATTTGACGGTCTCGTTTCCAATCTTTCAGGAGTAGATGGTTGTGGTCTCGTTTTATCCCGCAGTCTAGGTATGCGCCCGTAAAAGGGTTGTACCTTTACGGGGGAGTAGGAACCGGGAAGACTATGTTAATGGACTTGTTTTACGATCAGTTGTAAGCACCGTAATTGCCAGTATAGTTATGATAGTTAATATTACATTCGGTTCTCGTCTTGCAACTAATTGTACTTGCGCTTTTTTCTCAGGCCGAGCAATTGGAGAAAGAAGAGAATCCATTTTCACGACTTCATGTTGAATGTCCACAGTCGATTGCAAGTATGAATCCTAACTGCGTTTACGGGGCTTTTTTTTTTTTTTACCACATTGCATCATATGCTTATCGGGATTATTAATGTTTGTGTGATACTGTCTATTTAACACCAGAAGCACAAAGGCGTGCCGGATCCCCTCGAAGTTGTTGCCGGAGAGATCTGTGACGAAGCCATTCTGTTATGCCTCGATGAATTCATGGTAAGCAAGAATTAGCAATGTTGTAAAAATCGCTAGGCGCCCTCTAGACGCTTGGGGACCGCCTGGAGCGCCTAGGCGGGCGCCTGGAGTGGCCCTTAGGCGGGCCCCTGGAGCGGTGCCTAGGCGGGCACTTGGGGCGCCTAGGAGGCCGACCGCCTAGCGCCTAGCGCCGATTAATAGGCGCCTAGGCGCTATTTTTGCAACACTGAGAAATAGTTTACGATCTTTTTTATGCATAAAACGAGTTTTAGTATCTTTGGCCCGCATATTCTCGGCTGCTGAAATTCACGGGTTTGTGCAGGTGACCGATGTTGCTGACGCATTGATTCTGAACCGGTTATTTGGACATTTGTTTAGTAACGGAGCTGTTAGTATATTCCCGTCTCTCTTGGTTATTAAATTTCGACTATGGCGATTGAAAACTGAAAAAACTAATTTGTGTGTTTTTTGGGTTACGGGGAACACAACTGCAGATTCTTGTTTCTACTTCGAATCGGGCTCCGGATAATCTTTATGAAGGTGGACTTCAGAGGGATCTTTTCCTGCCTTTTATTGCTACTTTGAAGGTTCCATATAAACTCCCGAATCGATATCTAATTATTCTTTTCCACGTTATGTTCATTGCGTTTAAGGTTAAGAAAAACTACATTTTTTTTTTTGTAGGAAAGATGTGTGGCACATGAAATCGGCTCGTCTGTGGATTATCGGAAACTGACTTCGGTAAATATTAAATTGGAATTCGATTTTCTAAAATAAAATACGGTTTGATGTTTATTTGAATTTTTTTTTTTTTTTTTTTTTTTTGTGGTTTACTCGAGTATAGGCGGAACAGGGTTTCTACTTCATCGGGAAAGACTTGTCGGGCCTTCTCATTCAAAAATTTCTAATACTTGTAGGACAGCACGAGCCCGTTCCACAAGAGGTAGAAGTTGTTATGGGAAGGAAATTGCAGGTTTGTGCACTCGTCCCGCCTAATTTTTCCTGTAAATTTCGAGTCTTTTTTTCTCGGTCTATTCTGAAAATTTCCGAGGTCCCATTTGGTGCGAAATTTCCGTGTATTTTATATAGTTTTTGAAAACAAGAAGTCATCGTTTTTTTCTTGTCTATTCTGCGAAATTTCAGGTCCCGTTAGGAGCCAATGGATGTGCATATTCCCCTTTTGACGAACTCTGTGACAGACCTCTCGGGGCAGCAGACTATCTCGGATTATGCAGTAAGTAGTTTGACACCGTCCTTTTTCCCGCTATTTGTCCATTTTCCCGCTATTTTCCCGCTCTTAAATTTCTGCACTCTATTATCCAGAAAAATTTCATACACTCGCATTGGATGGAGTACCCGTCTTTGGACTTCACAATAGGACTGCAGCATATCGGTTCGTTACCTTGGTTGATGTTAGTCATTTCTCTTCTAGAATGGCTTCCGAGTTTTTTTTTTTTAGTTTTGTAATTTGAGAAAAAAGCATGATGTTCTCGTGTCCTGGAAAGAACGAAATCCTAAGATTCTCGAACATTTGTAAACATATACATACAGTACACAGACTGATGTTTTTTCGCGGGATTGTTGCAGGTGATGTATGAAAATAAAGCCAGGCTGTTGTGCACGGCCGAGGGCTCTCCTGTGGAACTTTTTGAAAGAATCGTAACGATTTCCGATGCCAAGTACATCGCTCCGAGGTCTTCGAGATCCGTGAAGAAAGACGATATTGACCTGTGTGTAGACAACGAGCTCGGTTTTGCAAAAGATCGTACCATTAGCAGGTAATTACTACTACGCCTTGCGGTTACATATTCTATTTCACAAAAACTTGTGCGAAACCATCTTCACAGATCTCAAATATGTCATGCTTTTTAGCAAAAATGTAATACTTTTCTATAGGTTAACAAGTACTGCACTTTCTTGCCCCGAAAGCGGTGACCAAGTGCGTAAAACATAATTCTTGTACTTGAAGGTCACAGGTTCAATTCTCGTACAGTGTCTTCCTAGTGCGGTTTACCCCTTTTCTGTGGTTTGTGGGTTAGTACACAGGAGCTATGGTTTACCCCCATGGCACACTTTCGGGTAGTGACTGCGGGTCTCCCTAGTCACCAAAAAATAAAAAATAAAAAAAATAAAGTATCGCACTTTTACCAAAAAAGTGTTATTTGTTCTTTAAAGAGTATCCTTGAAAACACAACAGTTTTCAGTGAAGTTTGTAAAAAAAAAAGTTATATTTTCGTATTATTCGTCTAATGTAAGACGGTCTCACATAAGACCAGACCCGCAGTTGTATTTCGCCATACTAGGTTGTTTTTGAGTGAATAAAAGATGAATGTTTGATGGATATGCAGGCTGACAGAGATGAACAGCAGAGAATATTTAGAGCAACATGCAGAGATGTTTGGAGGAGAAATGTAATAGATAGGAAGAGGAAGACAGACCATTGTTGTGTTGTAGGATTTTTTTTTTATATAATAATGTCGCAGGTTGATCGTTTTTGTGGTCATAAGATCAACACAGTTAATAATGGTGTAGAATCTTTAGTTTAGTGAACCATTGTAACTATGATATATTCCATTTTCAACATTTTCCATAGATGAACAAGATTGTAACAGTAATTGAATTATTATCTTTATTTTTATTAGTAAAAATAGCACTTTTTTTTTTTTGAAGTAAAAATAGCACTTTTGGTCATCTAACTATGGAGAAATCCTCGGGACAATTTGTTAATAAATCATCTCATGGCCAAATATAATCCTTAATGACAATTTGTCTATTAGGTATCCACATTTAGTTGTGTTTGGTTAGGGATTTTTACACTCTAAGATTATTGTTTATGCATTAAATATTTAAATATAAAATTTTAGTATATATGAGCCATTAATATTGTATAAATCAACATCCAGGATTAATAGTGAGTAAAAAGATGCGCGGTGATAATTTAGTCTTTTTGTATTTAGGTCAAATTTAATGTGCGTGATTTTTCTTTTTAAGGTGCGTGATTTTTGTGCTTAAGCTGAGTGATTTTTGTACTGTGTGGTTATGGACACTGTGAGCAAACTCCAAAATATTACCATGAAGATACTGCCTATTAGTTAGATGGTATTTGTAACGGAGGATTAAATTTAGTCGATTTTACAAATTAGAGGACTAAATTGAGTAATTTATAAATTCTGGGACTAATGCAAAATACGTAATAGTTGAAGGACTAAAATGGATATTAACTCATTTAATTAATTAACTACTCATTTTGATTTAGATTCTTATTTATCACAAAACAAAGTGATTTCTATTTAGACTCATTACTCATTATTATATATTTGATTCTCATCACTATTTCAATTTCAATATTTGAACCAAACGCATCCTTCGTTATATTTTGATGGTTAATATAACCATTCATTATATAGATGATATAAATATCCTAATAACTAAAAGATTGAGCTATTTTGATCTACGTACATAATAAGAATAATAGTAATAATAATAAAGAAAAATGGCTTTTAGTCCTAAATATATTAATAAAAACAATTGTATTTGTTTGTCAACATGAAAATTTTGGATTGTAGCATTGACAAATTTTAATACGGAGTATTAACTAATATAACCGTATAAAGGCATTAGAGATTATTATAAATCCAAATTTGAATAGTAATATAAAACTATCACTTCAACATATTCTAAAATCTTTCTCAATTTTATAAAAAAATTAAAAGTATTAAACAAAATCAACTAAGATTTAAGATCCAGAAAATTTGATGAACTTAAAAGTTTAAAATAAAACATGAGACAAGCAGTCAATAATCCAACACAACAGTACCCAATCTTGGGGGTTTCATCCAACCCCCACAATTTTATTACAGTAAATTTCAACTGGTTCTACTCTGTCTGCATAGTAATGGCACTCTAAACTCTACAAGTAACATGTCATTTCTCATGAGGTGAAATGAGCAGCAAACCTTAATTCCTCCAAACCTGAATGAAACTTTCCTAGATGGATGGCTGCTACACAAGAATCTTTGTTGTATACGCTGAGCAGACAGGTGGGGGGATAAGCCATTCGCAGTACACAAAATGCCAAGTTTACGTAGAAACCCAAGGGGCATCTTTGCACTTAAAATCAGTCACGTTCAATTCTTCAGCATTACTAAACTGCACGTTGGGAAAAAATGTAAAAGTTGGTCTGTGCATTGAGAATCTTATGATTTGAGTGGATATAGTATGATAAGGAGTAGAGAAATATCACTTACGTTAGCAGCTTCTAGGAATGTTTCATGTAATGTATGAGTGGCCTTAGAGAGGGGCGAGCCCTCGCGCACTGGTGCAGGATCCCCACTCCATCATCCCTGCACCAGCAGTGCAGTTGTTGATTAATTGCTAATCTGAGTCCTCATAAACTCCGCCATCATCAGAAAAGTCATCAAAAGCTCGAACATCAAGCTGATAGCGCAAGATACCCCCTATGCCACCAAAACCTCTACAAAACTGAGATCCTTCTTGAGATTTGTTGGTAACAAATTCCAAAGAGCAACCAAAACGCCTGTACTCATTTGCAAACCACTCTAACAATGGCATCTTATCTTGAACCTCCAACTCTGCATTTGTTTCCGGATCACGGAAGTTACTCTGATCAGCCTCTTGATCCTTATTCAAGTGTTTTATGATAGTTTCTCCAGATGTGTTATTTTTCAGCACATACCTTGTGATGTCCAAATTTTCCCACACAATAAGTGTCTCAACAGCCCCCATTTCCAGTACTTTCAATGTGTCGTCAACACCAAAAACATACTTGCCAGTGTCCTGACTTATCTCCTCAAAGTACTTGCCGATCAGTTTCTTCTCTTGTATAAACTTCACATTAGCCAATATCTCAGCAGACAGCTCAATTGCCTGATTAAAACCATTCTCTCCACCATAAGAAACATCCACGACATTCAAGATCTTTGCCTGGAGACGGATATCAAACATATCTGACTGACTGAGTTCGGTCTTGAAGTCAGCAGATCCAGCAAGTATGAGTCCTGAAACATTGGGCTGACTGGTTGCAGGATTAATGAAAAATTGGGTGGCAAGTTCAGCAGTCTTCCTCACATAGTTGTGACGCTTCTCCATTCGAAGACGTGCAAACCGAAGAGCAGATTGTCCTCCTCTACCGTGCTTCTTAGGGAGGTCAACACTAAACTTGTGAAGAACCTCCCTAGTGTTGCCACTCAATGTCCCAAAAAGGGTTCCATTCCCATCCATGACAATGAATCCAAACTTGTCATCAGATTCCAAAAGTTCATTAAGAGCTTCAGTATGGAACTTGTTATCACATAGGTAGAGAGATGCATTTATGGGCCTGAATGGTTCAAAGTCAATTGTGACCTTCTTCTCTTTCCCATCATCTGTAACAATAGTTCCAGTGTAAAGTACAAGACCATTTGGAGGCACTTTGTTATAGAGTTTCAGCCTCTGCTGGGCAGATGTGATTGCACCCAAAACAGATTGCCGATTAACTCTACTTTTGATGTTTGATGCAGTTCCAAACTCATCGCCAAGCATCTTGGTAACACGAGAAATTTGATCACGAGGAGGCATAATTAGAGAGATCATGCTGGTACCATTGCCTCGAGCAGCTTCCAATGCTTTAATTAGCTTTTTAATTTTCCATATCTCAATGTTCTTATCACTTTCATGTGCATCAGCCATTGTGAGATATAAAGAAGCTGCAAAAAAAGGGGTGAAATCTTTAAACAATCAAGAACGTTAAACATGGTAAACTCAAATACAGTGGTGGATGATGAAAAACTTGAAAACCCAAAAGCACCAGAACCCTAAGTAGACCAATTACCAAACAATGGCACAACACCATAAAGTGACCACAGTAAAGAGATTAAAATACATTGGATAATTTACTAAATATAGATTCTACCTGATAACCAGCATAGGTATTTCAGAGACTAGTTTGGTTCTTATTCAAAGGAGAGTAAACATTGAAAAAAGAATTGCTACTAAAACAAGAAGGAATTACTTTTGACATAATATTTATTTATCTAGGAGAAGGTGCAGTGAAGAGGGTGTTCCTAAATATTACGGTACGGCTTCTGTTCTTTCTTCTTTTCAATGCTAACCAATCAGGCACAGGTAAAGATGTATCATCAATCGAATGACTTACTTTATAAAAGCATCATAAATTGGATGACTAAGACAAAAAATTAACATACTGATTGAATTTCAAGGAAAAACACTATGCATCTAAGCAAATCCAATGCGTATGCAGGCATCATCATATTTAACTGCACAATCTCAAACAGAAACATAAATCGCAATCCTTCCCCTCCAAATACAACAAATCCAATACACATGCAGGTATCATCAATCCAATAAATCAATCAGAATATTTGAACTATAACAACAAATAACCAAATAAAATAAAATTAAAATTAAAAAAACGCTCACTCAAGCTAAACCATACCTTGGCATCACAACCTTCAGGATACAAACAATTCATTCATTATCATTAAATAAAAATATACAATTCAACATAATCTCAATTCACAAACCTCAGCTCAGACCAATATATCCGATCAAACCAATCAATCACACGCAACACTCGATACATCAACCATGCATCATCATCAATACACATATATACATCAAAACGTCACATGAAACGTACAACCAAAACAAATACATACGATATATGAATCAAAACGTAAACAGCCGCCAATACGTGTGTGTATAACACCAAAAAAGCGTAGATAACAGCAAATTCAGATCAAGCGAAAGCATTTACGCTACGCAATTTAGATTCGACGATCAAAAGCGTCTGAGATTTAGGGTTACGACGAACGCTTACCTAAAAGATCAAAGATGCGAGAAGTGTCACGAAACTATGCGGCGTTTGAGGGGGAAACAATTGGGAGTGGTTTTATGGTATAGGAGAAACGGAATAGAAGTCTAGGGCAAACAAACTTCTCCAGCCGACTTTCACCATATATTTGGCTTTTTTTTAAAAAAAAAAAAAAATAGTTATGTATTTATTTATTTTTATTTTTATTTTTTTCCTTGTTCACATAATTTTCCCAAGTATAAAACTTTGTGTGGCTAATTGGCTATTGAAGAAACAATGTGCAAGAATATACAAAAAAAATTCCTATAATAAATGGTCAAAAAAGTTAATTTAACTTAGAGAAAATATTTAAAGTATAAATACTATTGTAACGTAAATAGCAATTTATAATCTCATTATGATTTATTGTTATATTATATGATAGTATGACACTCGTTGTGTATTGATTATTGAATTTAAGGCGTTGAGAACATTCATTTAGATGGTTTAAGATATTTATAAATAATTAATCTTAGCATTATTCTAAGCTAGCGCTACAGAGAATAGACGCTAACAGATCTCTCAATTATTATTATTTAGAAGACATTATATGTGAGTAAATAAGACACGTATTTACAATCAATCAAAACGTTAATTGTGTCCAAGTATGAAAGGCACACAATGTTTTTTTTTTTGACAAGGGAGACTCACAATCACTTTTCGAGAATGTGCACTTGAAAATTCATGCTTAAATCGTGCTAAGAAAATTTCGTGGAACAGACAACAACAAAAGGTTGAATTCCCAATTGCAAGAGTCCCCCTACACCCCGGCCCGAC